CAGCAAAGGGGCTGCCAGGAGGAAAGATGAGCTTTCTCCTAGTTCTCTGAGGCTACCTCTCCGACACAGGCTGAATTTTATCTTTATACTAAAGGTCACCTTACCCATCACTAGACAGGGCTGTAGATGGTGGCAGTTGAGGCAGAAGATGATCACTTTCCCTGTAAACATATAAGTTTCCCTAAAATAGAAGAGACTAGTACTCAAGGGATGTTTTCATTGTGGTAAAATATCCATAACATAAAATGTATCATTTTCACCATTTTGCAGTATGCAGTTGTCAATGTAAGAAACACCCAAACCTGTGGAGAATTGTTGAGTTTATCTGAGTCCAACTGACAGCAGCTGCTGAGAAGCAAAATCCCAACGGATTGAGAAAATGCTCTGGAAAATGGCAGTTTTGCAGCTTACTTTATACATTAGAACTGAAGTGGGAGACATAAAGGAGGGTTACCTGAAATTCATTGTGGTGATTAGGGAGGAGGGAGAAAGCAAAGCGGGGACATCTCCGAGACTGGATAAAGAGTGAAGTGGAGAGACGCACACTTTTACGTTGGTGGGCACAGGGTAGTTAACGTTAACATTTACCGCACCTGGGGATGGTAGCTGGAAACAAGGTATATGAGGGGTTCTGTGGTCTGGTGCTCTGGTGGGAGATTGTGCCCCGAGGGGTCTGGAAAATGGATTATGTCATCTTAGATGCAGAAAGATAGCAGGCAGGCTCACTCACGGCAAAGAGTGACCTTCGTTACAGAAGCTCCAGGCCTGGGATGTGACTGCCCACCACAACTCGCCTTTAGTGGGGAACTTGTGTGCAGGCCATCCTGTGTGGTGCTCTCAGACTGAGTCTGCAGGGCCGCCATGCAGGCCTCCCCGGGCCCCTTTTCATCCACACAGTCCAGTGGCATTAAGTCCATTCACATTGTGCAACCATCACCTCGGTCCATCTCCACGATGTGTTCCTCATCCCGCTGAAGCTGGTACTCGTTAAACGGTTACCCCCCATCCTCCCAGCCCCCGGAGGCCACTGTTCCATTCTCTGTGTCTATGGATCAACTACTCCAGGTAAAGGAGAAACACTCTGCAGTGTCTCCTCCACTGTCAGTGACTTCACTTCTGACACTTCTGGCCAGTGTGGACGGAAAGGGCCCACCTCCTAGTCCTGACAAGCTCGGGAGGCCTGTGTGGTGGCCCTCCAAGCTCAGAGTCTGAAAGGAGCCACAGAGGGTGGTCTGAAATGAAGACTTCCTAACGACAAGTGAGTCATGGTGGGTAGTCACATCCTAGGCTGGCATCTTCCTTGACAAAGGTCAAATTTTACATTAACTGAGCCTGTCTGTTGTCTTTTTTAAATTATTATTAATTAATTTATGTTATAGATGTTTCTCCTTTCCACCCCAGACAGCCTACTCCCTATCCTGCCCTCCCGCCCCGCCCCCCCAATGATAACATTGCTTTGGGCCATCAGAGTCATTTCCTTTCTCCCAACCCCTCCCTCACTGCACCGGAGCAGGGGACCCCAGAACCACTCACTACACCAGAGCAGGAGACCACAGGACCCCTTACTGTTACTGTTAGCATCTTAATGGTTAGCCGTTAATTGTCCTTTGTCCACAAATGTAAAAGAAGTGTGTGTCTATTCATTTTGCTTTTTATCTAGTCCCAGAGGTTCCCCACTTCGCTTTCTCCCACCTCCCTAATCTGTCACCAGTGGATTGCATGTGACTGACCCCTTACTTCTCCTTTGATTCTGATGTATAAAATAGGTGATAAAACTGACGTTTTCTGGAGCATTTATTTATTCCATTGAGATTTTGTTTCCTGGCAATTACCATCAGTTTGGCTGAAATAAATGCATAAAAGTTCTCTACAGGTTTGAATATTTCTTATGTCGACACCACCAAGTGTGTGTGTGTGTGTGTGTGTGTGGGCACAGGGGTGGGGGCAGGGGAGTCCACATCAGGCAATTCTGCCACCCCAATATGGTGTCCTACAGTTCAATTCAATTTTGATTTGATACTGTCTACCTGGAGTTGACATAAGATCCCACAGGTTGAGGGTTCAGTCCCACAAGATTGCTCCCGCCACCTCTTTCAGACACCAGTCACAAGTCCTGGTTGTTACCTGTACTGGTGACCAACTGACTATATATCAGAGAGTCCTACGATTTCCTCCTCGGGTTGGATTCATTTGCGAGAGCACCTCATAGTGTTATGTGTCAGCGAGATAACAGAGACGCACAGCCAAACTGTAAAGGAGCGCTTTATTCTCACCAGCAGGCTGCGGAGGGCACAGTCTCCCCTCAGATCAGCAGTCATGATTCTTCTTGCTCATCTGATTTTAAAGACAGAAGCCCCATCCTCCTTTTGCGCCCCCCCCCAGAGGACCAGTACAATAGGGGGGGTGACAGCGATTACAGAAGTCAAAATTAGCATTATTCACCGGGCTCAGAGTGCCTGCAGATGCCTCCCAACACGTGGGGCAACTATAATCTTAGGCAACATTTCTTTACTTCTAGGGGTAATTAACCTGTTATTGGTAAAATATCAAGGAAGGTCCATTGATGATAAAAATGGAGTCATTCAGTCGCCTTAGCCAAGAGGCCTACGTAAGAATGGAATCTGGTCGCCGTAGCCTCAGGGCCAGGTCAGTAGAACTCAGGAAGACGGGTTACGTACTACATCACTGGTGTTTATAGATGGATATGACTCAGAACAGCCAGATGGAGGAGATGCGCAGGGCGAGGGATGGGGAATGGGGAAGGGGCGTCCTTGCTGCCTCTGGGCAGCCACCCTCCCTGCACCTCACGTGTCACCACCTGGAAGCTCTCGTTACCCGTCCTTTTGGGTTTTTATGGAGGCTTCATTATGTAGGTGTGGTTGATTAAAACACTGGCCATTGGTGATTGAGTCAACCTCAAGCCCCTCTCCCCTCCCTGGAAGCCTAGGGGTAGTCCCAAAAGTTCCAACTCTAATCACGCGGGTTGTTTCCCCTGGCAACCAGCCCCCATCTAAGTGGCTTTCCAAAAGTCACCTCATTAACATGCTCAGGTGTGGTTGAAAGGGGTTTGTTGTAAATAACAAGACCCTCTCATCACCTTTATTGCTCTGAAGCTTTTTCAGGAACAGGGAATAGAACTATTGTAACAAAAGTTACCCCAGTGGCTCTTGTAGAGGAAATTACAGGGCTTCAGGAGCTGTATGCCAGGGACAGTGGATGAAGACCAAATATACCTTTCTTGTTGTAAATCACATCATATTTTTTAAACTAAAATTAAAAGGCCTTAAATAAGAGGCAACAAATATTATTTGAGATCCAAAATAATAGCTATTCTCAAAGCACTAATTCAGGCAGAAACCCAAATAGTGTTCTGGTTAGGAGGCGAAGGCATGGAGTATTTATGACAAAGGAAAGGGGAAAACTTCATGAATATACTGAAGGAATTCTTATGAGTGTTAATAAGCTAAGGAAAGCATTTCTGTGGGTACAGATAAGCTAACATAGTGATGCCAATTCTAAAGAATGTCTTTCATTTTCAGTCTGGTTGTCATCGCAGTTGTTTGGGATACAGTGCTGATTTAGGACCGGTTCACAGGTTATTTTGCCTCAGACTGCAAAGGTTTGAGGAGAAAGACAAGACAGTTCCTCTGGGATAGCAGCTCCAACTTGATTGTGAAGTGGCTACGTTGATATTTTTGCATTCTCATGAATGGAATCATACAACATCCCTTTATGTATGAGGAAAGAGTGAAAATAGGGAATATATAAAATGGAGTTCTTTACAAGCTGCTAAAATTATCATTATGAAGGTTAAGGCATGAGGAAAGACTATTCTTGTTCTAACTAACCTGGGAACTTAAACATTTTTGAACTTTCCAGTCTTGTGTCTATGCCTGGACATACATCTGGACCTCCAGATAACCACTTGCTGACCCTCTGAAGGACCCCGTATCCAGACCATCTGATTAGCCCCCTGGCGTCTGTCATCCTGACTGCCTGACAACCATCTGTCCGACAACCATCCTGGGCAATCCTAGGGCTAAGAATGCAGGACTCATAATTCTCCAGAATGCACTTTTTACTAGAGGAACTTTTAACTATTCTTTCTTCTTTGGGACACTTCTGGACCTATGCACAGCTGTGTGAATAAACCTTTACCATTTATGTCTAGCAAGGCCTCCAGACTCTTTTTGAGTTTGTTTGACAGTCTTATTTTACTTAGCATGATGTCCTCAAGGTTCATCCATGTAGAGTAGCTTGTCAGAATTTTATTCCTTTTTTTCTATTTTAATTCCTTTTTTTGCAATTTTTATTAACCTATTAGAATTTTATTCCTTTTTAAGGCCGTATAATATTCCATTGTATGAATACACCCCATTTTGCTCATCTGTCAATAGACATTTAGGTGGCTTCACCTTTCGCCTATTGTGAATAATGTTGCTATGAACATTAGTATACAAATATCTGTTTGAATCCCTGCTTTCAGTACTTTTGTATGTATACCCAAGAAATAAAATGATTGGGTCATATGGTAATTGTATGTTTAATTATTTTTGAGAAAAGAATTCAAGAGATTTTAAGTCCACTAATCTATTGGAGAAAAGAGACATTTATTTGTTACCTCTGATGTGTCGTGTAGTATGTTGGGTGTCAGAAATGGAACGCAGGGGCTCTAGCAATGCAGGGGCCTACTGCGAAGGACAGAGCCAGCAGAGGTGTCGGTGCTGAGCTGCTCTGTACCGTGCTCAGTGCGGTAATGAGATGTGTATAGAGCCCAGCGGAGCACATTGTAATAGCGACTTCCGGTGTTTCTGCAGACAGGATGTCCTCGGGTGTCGTCCAAGACGGATGCTCTCCTGAACTCTGGTTAATTGTGGCTGATGCAGGAGCGATGTTCGGGTGTACAAGTTTTGTCATACGTGTGTTTTTTTAATAGCAAACTCAATCCATCCATCTTTCCAGTGACCTGAATGTCGCTCTCTTGTTTTTCCTTCCTCCAGTGGTTTTTAATTGCCAGCAGATCTTACAAAGTCAGCGCAGCAAGCTCTTTTTTCTTCAGCGGCGTGTTTGTGGGAGTGATCTCGTTTGGTCAGCTTTCGGATCGCTTCGGGAGGAAAAAGGTCTACCTCACAGGTAACCCTTCAGCATGTCCATGAACCAATAAGAGCACGATTTCCCTAAGGTTTCCAGGGAATTAGAGTAAGGGGGCTATTTCCTTGAGGTTCTCGGGGAAGTGCCACGTGGACACAGAAGTGGTTTTAGTACACGGGCCAGAGGCCGAACTGCAGCCAGCGCTGATTCTGGCCAAATGTCAAGTGACCGGCATAGTTGGCGGAGGCCAGGGGTTTGCATTATAAACTTTTCAGAGAGGATGGTGCTTTCTGCATCTCCAAATTCTAATTTATGCCATGTTTCTAAGGAGAGCAAAGATGAAGACAGTCTACTAGATCCATTTCCTTCTAGCTTGTGTTGTTGATCCATTTTGAAGGAGCTGTACAGGACTCGGCCTAGTTCTCTCTTGACACGCTTAGTATGAAACTAAGAGTTTTTTAAATGTCCAGCATTTCAGTGAATAATTGAAAACTATGCATGATTAACAGAAATCAGCTTGTAACAGAGACAGAAAACCTCAGTTTTTATGAGAAACCTTTTAAAAACAAACCTTCAGAAAATTTAAGTTTACATTTAAGTTTCTAGGCTAATGAATATAATGTATTCTACCAAATGTCTTGCTTCTGGATTATTGAATACTGTTACTCTCTTTCTAGGTTTTGCTCTTGACATCGTATTTGCTATTGCAAATGGGTTTTCCCCCTCGTATGAGTTCTTTGCAATAACTCGCTTCCTGGTGGGCATGATGAACGGAGGGATGTCGCTGGTGGCCTTTGTCCTGCTAAACGAGTGTGTGGGCACCGCCTACTGGGCACTTGCAGGTACTGCTTAAATCCATGCAGATATGGAGGAGGTGCACTGCTCCTGAAAACTCCGTGGGGAACCAGTTTAACCCTAGCATCTAAAAATGCTCTTGGACTTCAAGTGCTCTGTCCAGCTATTAGATTTGCTTTCTCAGGAAAGTTTGTTCTGTCTGACCGTGAACTAGTCATTTGTGTTCCTCTGTAGAAAGTCTCCCCTGGGGTCTGCTCACAGATGGTGAGCTTGCCCCCATCCTGAAAGGTTGCCTGCAGATTATTGGGGGAGTGTCGATTTCTCAGAAGGCATCAACTGCACCCACCCTGCCAGGTCACCTGGGTTACTCCTTTCCAGTTGCACGTTTTGGTCAAAAAGGAAGACCTCCTGGTCTCTTGTACCCTTGCCAGTTGCCCAGAGCAGCGAAGAGATTCCTGTTAAAGAACTTTCACTTACCATCTTGTCCTCGAAGCTGGGTGAAGGAGAGGCTAGTAAAATTTCTGTAGCAAAGTAAAAAAAGGAAGAAAAGGGAAAACCTGCAGTAGTGGAACCAGGTGGTCACCAAATTGACGGTGAAATTGGAGCAAATGTGAGAGAGTCCCCTGACAGCCTCCCGTCGCTGCCCACCCAGGACAGGAGGGTTCCTATGGCACCTGGGCCTCTCTGCCCCGCGATCCGGGCTTCCCCAGGGTCCTCCTCGCCTTTCTTTCCAAGCTCGTTCCCAGCACAGCCGTACTCACTGCTGTGACTTCAGATATGCTAATGAACTGCAGGATGTTGGGGAAACCTCACTGTTCAGCAATGAGAGATTAGTAGAAAGTAGCCTAATTGTTCACAGTAAAAAAAAAACTTGAAAAATTATGCTTAATTACAAAATAATTTTCGTAGTATGTATAAAACACTAAGTATTCACAAAAAAAGCATAAGTATAAACCTAAAACATCCATTTTTGATCAATTTGCAGTATCCTGCTTTAACAAGAAGAATGAGGATAATGGAAAATGACTGAGAATTGCAAAATAAAATACTAAAGCTATGAAAATTTTTATATTAATATATTATTTATTTTCCCTGATAGAAATATCTTACAATGAAAAAAACTGATGTCCTGGTAAAGTAAAATAAAGAAATACAAGCATAGAGAATACGCATAGCCCTCCCCTCCGGGAGGCCAGTGCGGTCAACACATTGCTCTGCACCCTTAGAGCTCCCCCTTTGCGTGTCTGTTCCACAGGACCCATTCACTCCCCAGACGCTGCCACGGACCAGACTCTGCTTCTTTAGGCACATGGGAGAAAAGGGTGGACAAGACGGGGGTGAGGGAAAGTTCTTGCTCTCATGGAGCTTGTTTTAATCAGGAGAGGCAAGAGGGTAAGTACAGTGAAGAAAATCAAACGGGAATGACTAGGCAGTAATTGCGGAGGACAGTTGCATGAAATGGAGAGTTGGAGAAAACCTTGATGCAGGGGTTTCATCTAAGACGTGAATGACGCGGACGACCTAGGCGTGTGAAATTCTGAGAGAACAGTCTCGGAAGATGAAATGGGAAGGGCCAAGCCCTGAGGCGGGGATGACTTCTTTGAGGACCTGGAAAGATGCCCCTGGCTCTAGTGTGGAGAGGCAGGGGGACTGGGAGCCATCACGTTGAAGGCCTAGATGCTGCAGGGCCCACGACAGGCTAAATGGGGGATTTGCTTTTTACTCCAAGTGCAGCGGGAAGCCAGCGTGTGAGCTGAAGGGAGGAGCTTACAGAAAGACCATTTCCAGTAGGTGTGTGAAGGAGCGAGTGTAGACATGGAGGGGTCCTTCTGTAGCCTGTTGTGGTTGTGAAACCTGTTGTGGTTGTGAAACCTGTAGGTGGGAAGGGGAGGATGAGGAAAAGGCGTGTATTTGACCCGGATTTGGGTGGGAACATGACTTGCTGAAAAATCAGCAGTGAGGGAAGAGAAAGGAAAATCAAGGAAACTTCATGGCTTATGTTTCAAAACTGAATGGATCATTGGTGCCATTTACAAAATGACGTCACCACTACACTGTTTTCTAACCTGCAAAGGTTGGCATTTACTCGTGCAAACTGAGCAGGAATAGAAGACCTGAAATTAATTTAAAACAAGCAGAAAAGTAATCTGAAAAATAGGCATAAATATCTAAAGACCCAGAAACAGTCACATGACCACATGGTACTCCGGAATTACAGCATGCAGAAGTGGTGACTCAAAATGTTCATTTTTTATTAAAATTTTAAACCAAGTAACCCAGAGCCTTACCACATGTACATCTCTTCACCTTATCCATATTGTCACTTCCAGACATTCATGGGCAACCTCTTGCTAGACATCAGATATGAATGTATCCCTTAATAAAAGGGACTGCTTTCTTTCACCTAAAAAGTCTCCATCATCTTCTGGGACCTCAGTCCATGGTAATGTCATGACAGTTTTTTTTTGTTTGTTTATTTTTATCCTCACCTGAGGACATTTTTGCATGTATCTTCAGATAGAGCGGGAGGGAGAGAGGGAGACACATCGACTGGCCGCCACCCACATGACCCCAACCAGGGCCGGGGATAAACTGCAACTGAGGTGCGTGTCCTTAGTGGGAACCGAACCTGGGTCTCTCAGGTCCGCGGGTCGACACTCTAACCGCTGAGGCAAACCAGCCAGGGATGTCATGACAGTTTTTAAAGTCATCAAATTAGGTTTAGGATCCAGCGTTGCCAGCCCTCACGGTCCTGAGTGGGTCTCCTGCAGTGACTGTCGGCTGTAATCTGCCCTGCTCTTGGGAGTCCGTAGCAAGGGCCCAGGGCGACGCAGGAAACCTGGCAATGGACTCAGTTGCCCTGAGCATGCGGCTGTGGACTTCAGTCTGGAGGAGTGGTCTTTCCTGGATTCTCCCCAGAAGAAAGTGCACAGAGCTGTGATGCGGGAGCCCTTCGGGAACCTGGCCCGCAGAGGACAGCAGTGGGGAGATCCTGACATTGAAGCCCGGTATGAAAACCAGAGGAGAAACGGAAGAAATCCCATGTTCCAGGTGCTCTGTGAAGGCGAAAAGGGCGGTCAGTGTGGGGGAAACTTCAGCCTTATTCCAAACCTCAGTCTGAAGAAGAAAACTCTTCCTGGAGTAACCATGGGAATACAGTGTGTGGGGAAAAGTGTTCATGTGCAGTCATCCCATAACATGCACGTCAGATGTCACACTGGCGACAAGCCACGTGAGTATCAACGTCGTGGAGACAAGCTGTGTAGTTGCGATGTCTGCGGGAGCGCCCTCGGTTAGCTTCAGTGTTTGGGCCAACGTGGGAGAAATCACAGTGGAGAAAGAGCCCGTCGATGTCAGGAATGTGGGGAGAACTTTACTTCAACCTCACTTCACATGCATGAAAGACCCCACTCCGGAGAAAAACCTTGTAAATGTAAACAACGTGCGAAAGCATTCAGTTGTCTTCGTGCTCCTCGATGTCGTGGAAAAGTTCACACTGGAGAGAAACCCTATGAATGTAAGGAGTGTGGAAAAACCTTCAGATACTATAAAAATCATCGACAACAGGAAAGTCAGTTTACCGGAGAGAAGCCCTGTGAATGTACAGAATGTGGAAAAGCCTTCATATGTCGTCAGCGTTTTCGAGGACATGAAAGAAATCAGAGAAGAGAAACCATGTGTATGCAAGCAGTGTGGTAAATCGTTTTGCTGTCTTCGGAAACATGAAAGAAATCCCACTGGAGAGAAACCCTATGAATGTAGAAAATGTGGTAAAGCGTTTAGGTACCCCAGTGATTCAGAAACATGAAAGGAACCACACTGGAATGTGGTAAAACTTCGGAGATCCCAGTTCCTAACAAACTCATACTGGAATGTCAGGAATGTGGGAAAGCCTTCTGATGTTATCCAAGTTTCCAAACACATGAGAGAACTCACACTGGAGAGAAACCATATAAAAAATGTAGTAAAGCATTTGCTTGTGTCCACTATCTTCGGAAACATGAAGAACCCACACTGGAGAGAACACTATCTATACAAGCAATTTGGAAACGTCTTCGTTTACCACACAACCTTTCCAAACGTGAAGATGCGCACTGGAGAGAAAACCACGTGAATGTGCAGAAATTGGGCAAGGCCTCAGTTATCGCAGTTTCTTTCAAAACCATAAAAGGAGCCGAGCCGGTGTGGCTCAGTGGTTGAGGGTCAACCCATGCACCAAGAGGTCACTGGTTCAATTCCCGATCAGGGCACATGCCCAGTGGGGGGCATGCAGGAGGCAGCCAGTCGATGTTCTCTCATCGATGTTTCTATCTCTCTCTCCCTCTCCCTTCCTCTCTCTAAAAACCGATAAAGAAAAAAAAATTAAACAAAAACCTAACAGCATAAAAGGAGTCACTGGACAAAAACTCTTGAATGTAAAATTTTGGAAAGATTTGGTCCACAGTCTTACAAGTGAAAATTCCCTCCAAAAAATAAATTAAAATCTCAGTAACATGAGTAAATTCATAGGAATTAATCCATGTATAATGTGCCAGAAAGTTTACAGCGTGACAGAGACCTCGTTCATGTGTAAGTATATTGTGTCTGTTGACCCCTCCCTATACTTCATCTCTGGGCTGTGGATTTCTACTAATTACTTTCAGAAATGAATATTCACATGAGATAATAATGAGAGACAACACTAAAATGGATAGGTAGTGCTTTTTTCTTAACACATTTAATAATATTTTCTCTCTATCTTGAAGCCTGTTAGATACATAGGTGAATTGAAATCTGTTTTTTTATATGCAGTTAGGTTAAATATCTTTTAATAATGTTTAATTTGTCCTGTGGTAAGGACCCTTTGGAAAAGGACAGTTTAGTATTTGGGTTTTCCTAGTCGCCTGTGGTAGTTCCTCATATCCCTAGCCCATTTTACATATTCTTCCTTTCCCCCTGATAAAGCTCCTTTTTTGGGGGTGATAAGTAGTTGGAATACTTATATGCTAATAAATAGTTGGAATAAGTTTTATGTGTGGCAAATTTAGGAAAGAATATTGTTCTTTCCATATTTGGACCTTTGCTTTTTGTTCTTCCTTCAGACTGATGTTTGGTGAGTAGACTTTGAATTAGGAACAGGGACCTGTGATAGGGCAACAGAATCGAGCTAATTTTCCCTCCCACATTACCACTGGGTAATGTTAGGACCTTGATTTTCCAGAATCCATCTCCTTTATGGTCCATGTTAGAATTCCTTAGTAGCCTCACTTGCATGAGATTTGGAAGGTAAAAACGAAGAAGGCATTAGTCAGACTTTAGAGCCAGCGTTCACACAGACAGACAGACATAGGCACTTCAAGGTCAAAATCTTCCAGCCTGTTATCTGGATTCTTTGACCTTCCAATCAAGACTGTCCTCAAAACCACCACCAACTGTCTGATACCATTTTCTGAGGAGCGTAGGTTTCCACTGGTGTCTTCACAAGATCCACATCCAAGATCCATCAGAGCTTGCATTTTGCTGTAGGCCCTCTTGTGTCCCCTGGAAACTTATCAGACTTTCATGCTTATGTCTGATTCCCCTCTTTAGATTACATGGATATGAGATCTAATTTGCATAGGAAACATCTTCTGCAATTAACAGTGCCATATATTTTTTATTCACCATGACATCTACAATGGTGCTGTCAAAAAGAATAATACCTGTCAGGAAGACTGGATGTTGCCTGGTACTTGTATGTGCATGTAAATCCTTCCATTTGTTTTCAATCATGTTTGATTGTATGTGATTAAAAGTACATGTATTTTCTGGTCAAACAAACACTTCTGTAGTTGTTTCATAAAAGTATTTTATTAACTGTTTTCTAAGCTCTTGTATGCTAACAAATACTATGTTTTTTATTTCCTGAGAAGATATATTAGAATGTCCTATAATAATTATGGATTTTCAAATAAACTTTGTAATTCTCTTCCTTAAAAAATAAAATCATTTTCTCTTGTCCATCAAATGCAATTAATACCAAGTGTTACTGACTGTGACAGGGTCAGCTCTGATGACCCTGTGATAAAGGGGAATCTTTTGGTTAATGTGACCAAACCACAGAAGAGCCAGGCCTTGGAGGTGCCTGGGACCAGGAAGTCAGATGCTTCTCAGCCCTGTCCCCCATCCTCTCTGAGAAGCTTCCTCTGCTCAGGCAGGGGTGGGCCCAGCAGCTCTCAGGTTTCCCCACCACGTCCAGTACTTATGATCCTGGGTAAAAGCCCTGACCTGCCCAGCTGGGGTCACCCCTGCAGCTAGGGGAGCTCTGATTGGCAGCCCCCACTTGAAGTGCAGGGATGAAGTAAGGGGGGGGGGTCAGCTCTCCAGAAGAGGGAAAGGGTGTACTTGGAATTAGAAAGGAGTGGTAGGTAGACAATATTTTATAATAGATATCCCAGGAGGCTTTTAGGTGACTTCCCCGGGGTGGGGGGTTACTAGATATAAGGGGCTATATCTATACTATAGGAGGACAAGTTAAATTTGTATAGCATGCATTATTTCATCTGAAACTAACAACTCCCCTTCAAAGTAGTTATTATTATTTTTATTTCACTGATGAGGAAACTGAGGCTCAGAGACATTTAGTCATTTGCCCAGAGTCACACAGCAGCAGATGGCAGAACTAGGGTTGGAACTTGGTCCCTCTGAAAAGTCTCATCCTGTGGACTCTCTTCTTTTTGTCTACATTGTTGTCCATGGATGCTGAGTACTCCCAACTGTTCTGAGGATGACAGCGGCCTCATTTGTGGAAACCAGGTGCTATCTGATGCGCTGTAATGAACCTGTAATGGCTGTTGATTATCTTAGATTTCCAGGGAGTCGCACTCCCCCTTCTCCTCCTTGCCGGGCCACATGTTCTGACACCGAGCGTGATGTCTCAGCAGCTCTCCCTTTTGGTTCCCCTTTTGCCTCACTAGGGCACACAATATACATGTCATTATTTTTATTTATAGCTTGGCAATCTAAGAACAGGAATAAACGAAAACATTTGTTTTACAGGATTTTTGTAAAAAATTTTTGTAACAATATCAACAAAGTCCACTGTTATGAGATGCCCACCTTTCCATAGAAGGGTGATATGAGAGAGGAATGTACAGAATGCAGTCTCTCCAGTCAGACCGACCAGGGTTCGAGTCCTGGCCCTGCCATACACAGCTCCCTCAGACAGCAAGCAGTACCTAACCTCTCTGAGCTAGGTCCTCACTCGTAGATGGCTAATGTCCCTGCATTCTAGGATAATGTATGTAAAAGGCTTAATGCTCAATAAAAAGTAGCTATTATATAAATAGTAGCTATTTCTGGTACTATTAGTGATAGTAGCAGAAATGGAAAGTGTGACAGAGGGATAGAATTTGTAAGTGGATTGGGCAAGCCAGTGGGTTTAATACCTGTCTCAGCATTTATTTAAAAAACAAAGCAAAACAATTCTTAACAATCCATGGTTGATTTTTTCCCTATCAGTGCTGACAAAAATCCATGCTACATGGGACTTATATCCTACTTGGGAGATACAGACAAGAGAAAAATAAATATAAAGTGTCATATCAGATGGTGATAAAGTAGGGAGGGCAATAGGGAGAATTGGGAAGTGGATTGTGATTTAAAATAAGGATTTCAGGGACAGCTTCTGTGACAAACTGTATTGCAATAATCTCATGACCTAAAAACCTCATGGTCATGTAGCAAAAAGTATTTCCAAGCCTTGGCCATGGACCAGGCAGATGTCAGTACAGTGTGCACTGCAGAAGGCTCTCCGCCGCAGCCTATGGATTCGTCTTGACCACCTGTAGTTTGTATTTCTCACCTGTCCTTCCTCCTTTCTGTTCACTTGCCGGCCTCTCTTCTAGTTTATCCTCTGATGCTCAATACTTGTGCAGGTTTTTCTTTCCTGCTGACATCTCACAAGGAAGGGATGGCTCTGGGACTGGGGTTGGAACGTTCTGCAGATGGTACCTCTCCAGTAACCGGTCTCTTTTCCCTGAATCAGGGTCAATCGGCGGCCTCTTCTTCGCAGTTGGCATCGCCCAGTGTGCCCTGTTGGGGTACTTCATCCGCTCCTGGAGGACCCTAGCCGTGCTGGTTAACCTGCAGGGAACAGTGGTCTTTCTCTTATCTTTGTAAGTAGAGTTTCTTGTAGAGTTTAAGTTCAATAAGCAGAAGGAATGTGTTAAAGGATGCGGGTCAATGAGCGGCGTTATTCCCTTGCAGGAATTTGCCTGAACTAACTTTGGTGAAGAACTAAATTCCGCGAGCGCGCTCATGCCTGGCAGCTTCTGGGAAGAGAGATGCTTAATTAATTCGAAACGAGGTATCCCTCGTTTAAAGTAACCTCTCAGTAAACTGCATTTTATCCGTCAAATTGTGGCATCAGGGACCAGTTTCTTTTTAACCTGATGTCTCAAACGGAAAGATCTTTGGGCTGGATCACGTCATGGGTTGGGTGTGCAACAGAGCTATGATTTTATAGAGCAGTCTATTCATAGTAATATGTAGTGGCAACTGTTCATCAGACAGTTGAGTATCTTTCAGGGCCTTTAAATGTGGATGCAGGAAGATTCTCGGCTGTGGGGGAAATCCTTAGCTAAGGTGTGCGGGCTCAACACGGTAAAAGGCCGAGTTCCTGGTTGGGGCAGGGTGTACAGTGATTATCCAAAGTGTTCACCGTGTGTGCTCAAACTGGCCAGACACCTGCCTTGGACTGTTTCACCAGAAGTTTTCATGTGCCTGGGAAAGGTTTGCTTCTGAGGTGTCAGACCTCTCATTTTAATCATGAAAATCTTTGGGGTAGATACAACTTTCAAGCAGTGGTATCAGCTTTCTTCTGTGCCAGAAGATGAGATCACTCAGGTAGATCTTGAGTTAGTAGCTCTTTAGTCAGGTTCAAAAGTAAGTACAGAAATGAATATAGTAGACCTATATTTTTAAATGGCAAATTTATTAAATACAGTTATATGATTTGGAGTGAGGTAATTTTATTAGAAATGGAAACTAACAATATTTTATTGGCTTGTGCATTGTAAATTCTGGAATAAATGAATGCCCAGTATAGACCTTGAATTAATAAGCATTCATGCAGATATTGGTAGGTAAAGGAATTTTATTTTTAAATATTTAACAAATCTCATATTTCTCCATCTACTCTGGCCCTCATCTCCCCTTTAGCAGCAGCGTGACTGTGACGGATGACGAGCCATTCTGCCTTCTCTGTGTGGTGTGCGGTCCGAGTTTGCTGCTGCTTAGTGCTAAGAGGGGACATCTGCTCACAGGGAAATGCATTCGTGTCGTGAAAAGTAGGAAGCAGAGAGAAGAGAGCATGCAAATTAAAATACACATTTATCCTATGAGGCCTGGAATGTGAGGCTTCCCACAGTCGGCCTCTAATTTATCTTTCCTGTTTCCTCTTGACTGTTTCCCGGACTCTGCCCGGCCCACTGAGCTGCTTGTTGTTCCCAGTCGTACCCTGTGCTTGTCTGCTCCCGTGCCTCCCGCTCGGTGCTGTGCCTGCTCCGTCCGTCCTTCTCCCCATCTCCTCTTATTTGTTAATAGCTTTCCTGGTTTGTTCAAATGCTGCCCAGGCTGAGCTTTTCCTGATCCTATCTTAAGCAACAAGTCATTCGCTTTCTTTTCTGAGTCCTGCAGCACTTGGCCCGTACCCTTCACGTGGCCCTGTCATTTCTGCCTGGTGGAGCCCCATCTCTCTACCCAGGGGCTCTGACCACCGCAGGCTCTTTGCTAAGTTCCATTATGTGGCACAGAAACATTCGGAATTAGCCATCAGCAACGTGAGAAAGAGTCGCAGTATTTCAGAGCCTTACCTTGTTTGTTGGTTTTATTAAAACCATATTACTTAGCTTGAGTGTTCCTCATTTTCACAATACTTGAATTTGAAGAGTTTTCCTTTATACGTTAGTGTCCCCTTCACTTGCAAAGGTTTTTCCACTTGGTAAGAACTCCGCAGACAGAGCAGAGGCGACGCGTTAACCAGCACTGTGGCTTCTGTGGCAGAGGGCAGCGTGTCCAAGGCCTGCTTTCTCTTTGCAATTCGGCCTTCCTGGGGGCTGCATAGTCTGTGTGTGTTGGAACCTCCTGTTCCCAAATCTGGCCATTGGCAAATCAGTGAGCCTGTGCTATGGAGAAGCTTACGGGCTTCTCAAAATGTGGAGAAATATCAGATCCTACGTTTTCATAATTAAGATCAACCCTTCCCCAAGTAAAAATAATTTTATTAACAGAGTCAAATTTCCAAAGCCTGAATATCTCTCAACTACTGTCTTTAAAAATGACTGATTGTCCAGCTGGTGTGGCTCAATGGTTGAGCATTGACCCATGCACCAAGAGGTTGCTGGTTCGATTCCCGGTCAGGACACATGCCCGGGTTGTGGGCCCGATCCCCACATGCAGGAGGCGGCCCATTGATGTTCTCTCTCATCGATGTTTCCATCTCACGCCCCCTCTCACTTCCTATCTCTCTAAAATCAATAAAGGAAAAAAACATTTAAAAAAATGATTGATCAAGTTTTGAAAGTAGTTTTTATTGCTTATGAACAATTCTGAAAACACAGAGAAGTTAAAGGGGAGGGGAAAATGACTTAAATTATCCAAAGATAATGACCTAGTTTTTAGGCTATTTCCTTATTGATGTTCTTCCTCACTCCCCCCAGGCCTCCTCAGTTTTAAATGTTATTATCATGTATTTTCCAGTATTTCACTTATTTTCTGTTCTAAGTATACCATCTATATTCATCTCAGTAGTCTTCTTTTATTCTTTTTATGTGTAGTTGGACTTAATCGGGTGGTTTACACAGTACTTCACCTATGGGTAGGGCCAGCTGATCCGTGGATGATCAGCATAACGTCCAACAAAACAGTATTTTTCTTGATTTTTTACTAGGAAGTGAATAAAGGGGTTTTTCAGCACGTTGGAGAAGGCCTCAGTTCCTGCTTTTGTTGGCAGTTAAATGTTGTACATGAATGTCTCTCCCCAGTAGCAGAACTCCTGGGGAAGTTCCTGCCTCTCTGTTTCCCCAGTCTTGCCTCTGCACCTACTCCACTGGACACAAAATGAAAGTGCTCAGTACGTGTGGTTGATGGACTGTTGTCCAGGAAGTTCCAAATTCTGTGGCGTTTGTTGCCCATTCACTGTCCTTACTGAAAGGCACTGTAAAGAGCCAGTGTTATTACACAAGTTTCATTTTAGGCCAATTATGTCAAATTAGATCAAAAGGTACCCGATATTGTATTTAGTATACAAGTCTTGCACGCTCCTGCCATAGTTTTGTCTGTGAAAAGTCCTCTACAGTACGGTACGTGCAGAACTGGGAAGAGAAGAGGAAAGATATATGTTATGTCTAAGTCTTGAAACTGTTGGAAGATATCAGTGGCAATATAAATGTTCAATACTTTGTAGCTGTAGTAGAAAGTAACTACTATTTTGTAACTGGAAGTTAACCAGAAAGTAACTTTTATTTTCTAAGATCTTGGGGGATTCAGGAAATATCCTCATGACATGCTAAAGCCGGTCTCAGCTGATTCGAGTATTTTGAAGCAGTAAATCAAAAGTAAATAATTTGTGGTAAACCCTGTTTAATGTTAATGTGTGGCCTTAAAATAATCTCTACGTTCTTAATCACATATCAGTATGTTAAAAACACTTTGTACAGATTTATTTTTTCAGATGAGAAAATAAAGATTTTTATCTTCCTTTTGTGGCTTTTCCAGAACTCAGAACACCTGCTGTCTCCACGGTATTGTCTAACGCCTGGCTGTGATTTGGTCATAACTCTGGGCCCTGCTTTCTGAAGCGTGTGTGTTGTCTAGTGCTGTAGTCTTAACCTTGCCATTCATTTATTACATTTTTCTTAGCAGGAAATGCACACTGTTCGCCGGTTCCCCTGCTGTCGGGAAGCTGGCCTCGGGCCCGTTCACAAGGCAGGCCCCCTGTAGCGCTGGAGGAGGGCATCGGGCTGTCTCCTGGCTGTGCCGTGTGCCGTGTGAACACACAGCCTTGTCTGTTCCAGGTTCATTCCCGAGTCACCTCGCTGGCTGTACTCCCAGGGCCGCCTGGGCGAGGCGGAAGCGGCCCTCTACCTCATCGCCCGGAGGAACCGCAGGCTCAAGTGCACCTTCTCGCTGGCCCGAGGGGCCGACCGGAGCAGCAGGGGCGCCGGCAGCGTCCTGGACCTCTTCCGGTCCCGGGTCCTCCTGGGGCACACTCTGACCCTGATGTTCATCTGGTAACTATGGCTGCGGGCTGTCTGCTGGTGATCTGTTCCTTCCTCGGGGTGACAGGAACTCCTACCTCTTTGTCAGCGTGACGTTATTGTCACTGAAACAAGGCCCCCTCCCCGAGTGCCTCGTATTGGCCTTCATGGTCACACCCTCCCTCTCCAGGAGGAAATGATGGTGCCTGAAACAGGGTTCCCAGACTTGATGTCAAAAACCCACCTTTGCTCCCTGGCTGGTTTGCTCAGCGGTTAGAGCATCTGCCTGCGGTCCAGAGAGACCCGGGTTCGGTTCCCACTAAGGGCGCGTACCTCAGTTGCAGTTTGTCCCCAGTCCTGGTTGGGTCGTGCAGGGGGTGGCCACTCGATGTGTCCCTTTCATGTTGATGTTTCTCTCTTCCTCTCTCTCCCTCCCACTCTATCTGAACAAAAAATGAAAAAATGTCCTTGGGTGAGGATAAAAAAACAACAAAAAAACCCCACCTTTGCTCATGAGATATTTGATGTAAGTATTTAAGTCACCCTACCAAAAAAAAGGGGGCCCTGGTCAGTGTGGCTGGAGTGCCGTCCTGAACACCAAAAGGTGGCGGTGTGATTTCTGGTCAGGGCACGTATCCAGGTTGTGGCTCGATTCCGGTCAGGTGCGCGCAGGAGGTGGCCGATCGGTGTTTTCTTTCTCAGCTCTCCCTTTCTCTCTCTGAAATCAGTCTTTAAAAAAGGAAAGCGAGCAAGCATAGCAGCAACAGGAGAGTTTTTAAACAGGGGTGACAAACGCCCATGTTTGGTTTGGCATCGAGTGGTGGGACAGCACATCTTAGTTGGGCTGCACACTTTGTGGCTTCTCCACTCATTCACTGGGGTGCTTGTCATTATCCCCTGGGCCAGTGGACCCTGGGATTCAACACCACCTATGCAGATCAGGGAATGAGTGGATTAGCGCTCTCTGAGTCTGGCTTTCAAGTTTAGTTAATCCCAACCTGCCTCTCAAAGTGCTCTTGGCATTAATGTAAATGCATGGATTAATGTAAATCAGGAGGGTTCCAGTGAAACAAGGAAACATATGCGTTTTAATATTATCTATTCTACCTGGGGGCCATAGACGTTCCCTGGGGCCATAGACGTTCCCTGGGGCCATAGACGTTCCCCGGGGGCCATAGATGGTCCCTGGGGCCATAGACATTACCTGGGGCCATAGACGTTCCCTGGGGGCCATAGACATTACCTGGGGCCATAGACGTTCCCTGGGGGCTATAGACGTTCCCTGGGGCCATAGACATTACCTGGGGCCATAGACGTTCCCTGGGGGCCATAGACGTTCCCTGGGGCCATAGACGTTCCCTGGGGGCCATAGACGTTCCCTGGGGGACATAGATGTTATCTGTTCCAGTGAACATCAGATTGACTGGCCTGAAGGACTGTGTGCTGTGGTTTGTATGTATTTACCATGAAGACTGCAGTGAAAACCTACATTTTCATGTGATAAAGGAGAGTGATTTTATTTGAAATTGATCTTATGTACAAAGTTAAATAAAATAGTAGATTGAGAATAAGAAGCGTTAGATACATTTTTCTATATCATTCTCTTTGCCGACGCAACCAAGCACTGGCCACCACCGGGTGGTCAGGGCCAGGTCACAGCAGCCCAGTGCTGGAGCATTACAGATGCCTGATAAGTGAACGAAGGGCATGGAGGCGTGGAGATGGAGAGAACCTCTACAAGCATAACCTGACAACATGGCATAGGAGCTAATTTGAGATCCTACCTATTGTGAAGTAAATACCCACGAAGTATGTTCATATACTTTGGTCTTCAAAAAACCCCACATTTGGGCCTAGCTAGCATGGTTCAGTGAACTGAGCATCGTCCCATGGACTGAGAGATCCCGGTTCGATTCCCGGTCCGATTCCCGGTCAGGGCACATGCCCAGATTATGGGCTCAGTCCCCAGTGGGGGGCCTGCAGGAGGCAGCCGATTGATGTTTCTTTCTCACATCAATGTTTCTATCTCTCCCTTCCTCTCTCTCAAAAAATCAATAAAAACATATTGAAAAATAACACAAAACCCTACATTTGTATGTCTGATAGACCAACCCTCTACCTTGAAGGAAGTCCCTACTTCTTGGGGAGTATTTACTTCTTTTTAAGTTTTTTACTGTTTTGAGGCCTATTAAGTTTTGGGTTCTGGCCTTCAGGGGATTACAAAAAAAAAAAAAAAGGTTAACAAGTGAACAAAGCCAAGGAGAAGGTCCCTCCTATATTCTGTATTACACAACCAAAGGAACTGTTCTCAAATGAAATGCCTCCCCCCTGGGCTCCGGACTTTAAAATGCGCAACAGAAGGGATGCATTTCTCATGCTGCCGTTCTCTCGGGAGATGCTGTAAAGTCACAGAACCTTTTCTGTGGCTCTGAAGAAAGCCTTGACTGGGAGTGTGACTATACCTCTGTGTTTAACATCTGTTCCTGGGCTTATTTCCCACAGAAGTGCCTTTTTAAATGGTTGTTTGGCGCCCTAAATATACTGTTAAAGATGGTGCAAGCATTTTAAATTTTGTTTGGGGCCATAAAGAAGATTGAAATGATTTCCGTCACTGTAGCCACTCATCCCAGTGACCAGTTCTGTCATCAGGGAAACATGCGAGTGAAGTCCCTTTGTCTGTCGCCACCAGCTGGTAACTAATTCCTCCAGCGTCCTGAGCTGGCTTTGCTTAATTCATGCCCCAGTTGCTACCATCACAACCTGGTGTGAATAGGCGTGGGATTCCTTCCCTGGGATTTCTGTTTTATGTACAGAGCAGACACCCCCTAACACAACACGTTAAGAGTAGCATTATGTAAGAGCAGGTCTCTACTGCAGGTAGAAAGGATTTAAAAAATATTTTAGACAACTGCATGGGTCTAAATTTGTTTATGATAGGTAGGATCTCAAATTAATAGTTCCCGTGCTGTGTGCCAGGTTTGGCTTTTTTTTTTTTTCCCTTCCCCGAGGACATTTTTCCATTCTTTGTTCAGATAGAGTGGGAGGGAGGGAGAGGAAGAGAGAGAGAGAGAGAAACATCGACGTGAAAGGGACACATTGAGTGGCTGCCACCCGCATGACCAACCAGGGCCGGGGACAAACTGCAACCGAGGCGCACCCTTAGCAGGAACTGAACGGGGTCTCAGGTTTGGCTTTTAAAGCTTCCCTTCTTCTGCATGCCTCCCAGCGTGTGTCTTTTGTTTAGGCCAGGCGCTAGGGGACAAGGAAAACACAACTCGGTGGCACCTTGCATCCTTACCTTGATGTCCTGGCTACCACACAGCTCATTGTCCTTAGTACAGGAGTGACAGCTCTCCCAGTAAGAAACCCTGGCTCCGTGGCCAGAGACGCATGCGCACCAAGCAGTCCAGCTGCAGGGGTCCCTCTCCCTCCCCCGCCCCCTCCTTGGTTACTGTAGCCCAGGGCACGTGGGCTGGCCACTCGCTGAGTTGGCAGAGACGGAAAGAAAGCTTTCCCTGTCCCTTTGATCCCATCGTAGCCACAGCTCATTAGGCTTTTTCTAAGGAAAACCAGAAGGAAGCAAATGAGGACTTCCCCGTAATAAACACTTGTCGAAGTGAATTGTGAAAACCTAAAAACTGGCGAACTTCCGAAGCCTAAGTGCTTCACTGCTTGTGGAGAAACTAATACAGCCTAGTTTCAGGGGGTCATTTTTGTTTGTTCTGTTCTATTTTGTTTTGTTTTAATAATACAGTTTCCTAGACACACAAGTTTCTAGTGCTCCCTTCGCTACGTTAGAGGGAGCCCCGCTTGCTGCTTCAGGATGGCACTTTGGCTTCGCTCTGGGCTCCCGAGTTCCGGGGAGGGGAGGTAGGCTCGGTGCCAGGGACGATGCCCGCCACCCAGAGGTGTTTCAGCAGTGGCGTACGTAAATAAATGCATGGCTTTCAAAGAGCTTTTCCCCAGTGGATTATCCCAGAGAATCCTGCCTCCACCATCACCCTTGTCTTTTTTTCCTGTTCTGGGTGTCTGCAACATGAGCACCTGCGGGATGCCCGATGAGGGTGAGAGCCTGCTGGGGTCGGAGTGGCAGTCATTTCTGGCCGGCAGGTGACCCACTGGCCATCCAGCCATGTCTCGGCCCACATTCTCAAGCCCATCCTCTGTTGGCTTTCTCCCTGGGAGTCCTTCCTAGAGTCATTTTGATAATCTCACAACAATTGCCTAAGGCAAGTGTTCTATAAATTGTATTAAATAAAGTAAGAATGGAGTCACTGTCTTCCATTAAATGCAGAAACACTTGATGAAAACACGAACGATGTCTTTTCTCTTTCAGCAGCAGGCCACTCACTCGTTGGCTTCATCTAGCATCTAGACGAATACTTTCAGAGGCCCCTCTATTTTTTGTTTTTTCCTAGTTTAGAAATTTAGATAGAAATGTTCGTGGGAGAGTCAAACCTATTGCTTGAGACGGATCGCGTTATATTGAACGGCATTTGAATCTTCTCCGGCAAATTCTCACGTGCTCTTTCTTTGGTCCTTTACCCCCTCTTGCAGGTTTGTGTGCAGCTTGGTGTATTATGGCCTAACTCTGAGTGCAGGTGACCTAGGTGGAAACATCTATGCCAACCTGGCCCTGTCTGGCCTCGTCGAGATTCCATCTTACCCTCTCTGCATCTACTTGATTAACCACAGATGGTGAGTGTCGAGGAATATTGTCATGCACCACACACACACACACACGTGTAAATACCTAAAGATTACTGTCTTTGTCCATATATAGTATCTGCTAATTACTCCATAGTTATTATTATTCTTTTCAGACCAGCACAGTTAGAATTCATTTTTAGTATAGTTTTTCTAGGGTTCCATGTTTACAGTTTTTTATGTAGGTCTACAACCCAATGTTAAAAGGCATTACTACCTGAAGGTTTTGAGTCATCTGTGCATAATTTGTTAGTCCCAGCAGGTGGGATTATTGGCTCTGTGTAGAGAGAAACAGAACCCCATTGACACAGTGTCATTTAGAAGTTCAGGACAAAGAACTGGAAGAACTAGAATGTGTTCCTTACCTCTTAAGACCCATGTGACTCTGTGGAGGGGAAGAATATATCCTGTTTTGTGGACACAGTTTTGAAATACTTTTTACAAGTTCCTTTATGAGCACCCGTTCCTGCGTTTTCCCAGATCCCTCCATTACTGAGCCCCTGAGCAGGGCAACTAAAAATCCCATTTGTGTGAGGGAGTCAGTGGGACTGTGCCATTTCTCATTCTCCAGAAATCATCATTTTAACCCAAAACAGCATTTCTTTAGCATTACACTCGATACTGTTGTCATGGATAGGGACCTTAGCACATTTTGAACGGTAGGTTTGGATTCTGTCAATTGAAGGCTTTTTACTCTGGGAGGTGGTCCTCTGCTGACCCCGCTGTTAGTGATGAAGCTTATTCTCATCGTGGTCTAAGAGCTGGTTAGGCAGCATATTCCAAAATCTATCCCCAGCATCCCCATTGTGCCAAACACCCCCTTTGTGCTGTTACAGCTTTCTGTGCACACCTCCAGGACCACTTAGAGTGTTACAAGGACACTGGCCATGAAGGTATCCGATATGTCTTTGCATCCCTAGTGCCTGCCTAGCATGGGACCTGTCACTCAAAAGGCATTTGATTATACTGACTGTTAAATTAGGCAAAATGACCTGGAGACTCAAGTCCTTTCCCGTCTCCTAGCTACTACCACGCGTCAGAGTTAAATCCGATACGACAGGAGGAACGCTGCTCCGGGGTCAGCCACCTGAGTGCACGTCCTGCCTCCGCAGTGGGTCAGCCTTTGACAAGGGACCTCCCTGAGCCTCCCTGTCCTCATCGTAAACTAGGGTTATAAAATCCCCCAGAACATCGTCATATAAATGACAAGTAACAATGAAGCTCCTAACAGAGGACCTAGCAAGTCCAGGCCCCTAGAAAAGGGAGGCTTATTAATGTTTCCATCTTTCCTCCAAGTCTAGAGCTCTTATTAAAAAATTACTTCTCCCCATAAAGTGTGCAGTACATTTCTGACCTACTAACAAGACAAATGTTCTGTTTGTACTTTTAAGAGCAAGGGCAGCGTTTAAAATTTTAACTGCTTAAGATTCAAGTGACCAGAAATTGAAATGAGCTACAAAACTCCATTTTCCATGTTTTTGTTCTGTTCTCTGGGAGATGAGGACTGTAGCACACAGTACATGCTGTATGCTTTATTATTAGGATTAAGTAAGATCATCGATAGAAAGCATGCAAAACAGCGCCTGGAACATAGGACGTACAGACACAGGTCGAATGCTTCCCCCTGTACACGTTACTTAGTCCTGCTGTCCAGCAGCACTGCTTTGTCTTATTATGATGGTTCTTTATTTTGTGCCCTGGGTGGTCACATCTGCTGCCCGCTCCTTAAGAAAAGATGAACATGTACAGTGAAACCGAGGACACGAAAAAGGAAGGCTGGGGGAAGCAGCACATGAATCTGCTAGGTCCTCAAAGGAACATATCATTTCTTTCTATTATTTAGGTTTGGTCGGAAGCGGACGTTAGCGGCGTTTCTGTGCCTGGGAGGACTGGCTTGTCTCATTGTCATGTTTCTTCCCGAAAAGAAAGGTATGCCTTCTGAATGCCCGCTGAAGGGTTTAGAACAGCGCTTTTATTACAGTGCATCTCAATATAGTAGAGAGATTACCATATGCCAGGCTTCATTTCTGTGATTGCATATTATTTAGCAATTGTGTGGGGTATAATGGGCCAGATTCTTCCCAGTGCCTGAACTGTTCTCTGGGTGAATAATGTGCTTCGAGGTGCACTATTAAGTCTTCCAGGCGATTAAGCTACCATCTGGGGTGTCTGGGCTGCAGTGCTGTGCTGTTAGAGTTGCTAATTTGATGAAGAGGAGGACCATTTAGTTCTGCACAGAGGAGCTCCGTCCAGGGCTCCATTTTACACTGTCATTCCAGCCAATCCCGAGAGGGGACATCAGAGTCACTGATTGTCAGAAGTGGCTTTGGCATCTCTCAGCATCTCCCTCAATACTCCCAATAATAATAACCACAACGAAAAGGAGACTATTCACTGTTAGTGGCAGTGGACATTATCTCAAGTCTCATAGAAAGTATGAGTGACATATTTTCAGGAAACTTTGGTATTTTTATATACTTGTAGCTTTGCCGAGCAAACAGCTTCAAACAGATCCTGTTAGGCATCTTTATTTCACCTTATGTGACTCCATGTAGAAATTCTGTGGACAGTGCTGGTCCTCACCTGTGTTTTGGATGCGCACACGTGAGTCGTGCTAGCTGGCGATGCGTCGGGGACTGTGGCTTTGGCAGGGGCTTCAGCAACAAGGAGTGACCAGAACAGACCTCTGCTCTGGGGTGCACGGTTCAACGAAAGGCCTGTTTTGGGGGCTTTTCAATTTTGATAAGCGCGCCATCATGGAGCTTGTACGTCATGTGGGGGTCACTGTGAGATGGTGGAACATCGAGTTTGAGTAGGTCCTGGAAGAACTCACTTCCCAGGAGGGCACATCACTGCTTCTTGAGGTCCAATCATGCCCGTGTCTCGCCGATGGCGCCAGGGCCTGGGTTCTAGTTCTGTAACCCTGCAGTACACCTGCCGCACTGTCCCTTGTGGCCGGAAGTTCTGTGTCGTGAATCCAGATCGCAGTCTGTTGACGAGTCAGGATTTTATCCAATAGGACAACCTCGTAGTGATTTTCAGGAAATCGTGGAAATAAGAAAATTCAGTATGTTTGGCTGTTTCTTATTCTCAAAGTAAATTGGTGCCTCTGCTGGTGCCCCATTCTTTCTGTCCAGGACACAGTAACCGGCTTCACATCGTTGTAGCTTTCAGTTTGGAAGATTTTGTTTTTTAGAGACAGCTTGGCAATTCGAATTGTGTATGTTTTCCACCTGTAGTAGTCCAGTTTTCTTTGTCATCTTGCAGGGAAAACCTTTTCATTGCTACTCTAAGCATACCTGTAACTTGTCACTCCCCTGTAAGCTAGGCCAGTCAGTGTCGCCTCCCTCCCACGTGTCTGTGCCCTCCCGGCAAGCCACACCGTAGGGCTCTGCACACAGCCCTTTGTTTTTTTTTTTATCCTCACCCGAGAACATTTTTTTCATTTTTTGTTCAGATAGAGCTAGAGGGAGAGCGAGGAAGAGAGAAAAAGAGAGAGAGAGAGAAACATCGACGTGAAAGGGACACATCGAGTGGCTGCCACCCGCACTACCCAACCAGGGCCAGGGACAAACTGCAACTGAGGTACATGCCCTTAGCGGGAACCGAACCCGGGTCTCTCTGGACCACAGGCCAACGCTCTAACCGCTGAGCCAAACCAGCCAGGGCGGGACACAGCCCTTCATATAAAAACCCAAAGCGAAGCCCATCTGGACTGTCCTCAGTCTGCTCACTTCCTGTCTGTGTCCAGAGAGCGGCATGCACCCTTTGTTGGCTGTGCTTGGTGGACACACAGCATCTCAGAGTGTAAGAAGCATCGCGGTGTCTCACACACTCCACGGCCTTGCCTCAGCACAGGCCTCTGCTAGCCTTGGAAAAGGACATCTAGTCTGTTTTGAAGATTTCCAAGGAAAGAAATTGTATGATGTCCTTTAGCAAATTGTTTCTATCTTTGATAAACATTAGAATGTTAGAATGATCCTTTTCCACTACAGCTGAGTCCATTTCCTTTCATTTTATTCATCCCTGGAGACAAGAGAACAGATGGTCATAAACCCCACCCCCGCATACTCCATTCTTTATTTGCAGACAGTTATCTAGGTATTTCTGAATCTTCTCTTCTTTGAGCTCAAAAATACTTGTTCTTTAAATAGTCTTTGAATCTCATATTTACTCATTAAAATATTTTGATGGTTTTCTTTGAAATCCCGATTTTTTCAAAGTTCTTTGCTTTGACCTACAAGTTATGAAAGTTTTGATAAGTGCATATTAAGAAAGAAATCTAGTAGTTTGAAAATTTCTATTAGCATCTTGTGTGAGCTTGGAGACCACTCACTTTCTTTCTTTTTGTTTTTAAATATGTTTTTTTTAATTGATTTTTTAGGGAAAGGAAGTGAGAGAAAGAGAGAAACATTGATGTGAGAGAGAAATATCGATTGGCTGCCTCCTACATGTCCCCCACTGGGGATCAAGCCTGCAACCTGGGCATGTGCCCTGACTGGGAATTGAACCCGGACCACTCAGTCCATGGGATGATGCTCAATCCACTGAACCACACTGGCCGGCCCCGCTCACTTTCTCACGGCTATTTATGCTCACTTTTCCTCACCAAACATGCATTCATTCTCTTCTTTCTGCCAACTCAGGTGCCCTCCACCTACCTCCACCTACCAACTATTTTTTAAGCATCTGTGTGTCTGCGGCACAGACATGGAGGTGTAACTGTATATGAGACAACCAGATAGCTAGAAAATAGATTATTTGCTATTTCTTAGCCTGTAGTTTATCATTTTTAAACTGAGTGCCTTTTGCAGTTCATAGTTGCACCCTGAGGGTAGTGTTACAGGAACCACTAATTTCCCCACAGATTTGTCTTCATACATTTTACCTGATCTCTATCCTTGCTTGAAGGATCCTAACTCAGCTTACAGTACTGGCTATCATTTATTAGGTGTCGTAATAAAGACAAGAGAACTATGTGTTGGGTCCTCTCTGAATGCAGAAGGTATTACATATCCCCATTTTATAAGGAAACTAAAGTTCAGAGTGGTCAGTCAACTTGTCTAAGGTCACACAGCACAGGCAGGATTCAGATTTCAGTATTTATTGCAAATGGTGAACCTGTTGCCTTAGAGGCTTAACACGGCCTGAATAAGGGCCAGTTCTTTTTTTTTAAATCTTTATTGTTGGATGTAAAATGTATTACAGATGTTCCACATTTTTTCCCCCATTGACCCCCTCCTCCTCACTCCCGCCCCCCTCCCACCTTTTCCCACACTATTGTCTGTGTCCATTGGTTATGCATATAAGTTCTTTGGTTTATTTCCCCCCCCCCAACCCCTTTCCCTTTGAGGTTTGTCAGTCTAACAATGAATTTGTGCTTCTTAATCCCTTCACCTTTTTCACCCATTCCCCCAAGCCCCCTCCCAACTGGCAACCAACAAAATGTTCTCTGTATCTATGAAAATGTTTCTGTTCTACCCGTTTATTTTGTTTTAGATTCCATTGTCGATAGATATGTATTCATTGCCATTTTGTTTGTTCATACATTTTATCTTTTTCTTCAAAAAGACCCTTCATCATTTCATATAATAACGGTTTGGTAGTGATGAACTCCTTTAACTTTTTCTTGTCTGGGAAAGTTTTTATATGTCCATCGATTCTAAATGACAGCTTTGCAGGATAGAGTAATTTTGGTTGTAGGTTCTTGCTTTTCATCACTCTGAATATTTCTTGCCACCCCCTTCTGGCCTGTAAAGTTTCTTTTGAGAAATCAGCTGACAGCCTAATGGGAACTCCCTTGTAGGTAACTAGCTGCCTTTCTCTTGCTGCTTTTAAGATTCTCTCTTTGTCTTGAACCTTTTGCATTTTGATGATGATGTGTCTTGGTGTGGGCCTCTTGGAGTTCATCTTGTTTGGGACTCTCTGTGCTTCCTGGACTTGTATGTCTGTTTCCTTCACCAAGTTAGGGAAGTTTTCTGCCATTATTGTTTCAAACAGGTTTTCGATTTCTTGTTCTCGCTCTTCTCCTTCTGGCACCCCCAAGATGCGAATGTTGGCACGCTTGAAGTTGTCCCAGAGGCTCCTTACACTATCCTCATTTCTTTGGATTCTTTTTTCTTTTTGCTGTTCTGATTGGGCATTTTTTGCTTTCTTTTATTCCAAATCGATGGTTTGCTCCTTGGATTTGCGTACTCTATTATTGAAGCTGTGTAAATTATTCTTTATTTCAGTTAATGCCTCCTTCAATTCTAACTGTGTATCCATGATTTCTAACTGGTCCTTTTTTATGCTCTTGAGGCCCTCCCTAAGTTCACTGAGGTTCTCACTAAGTTCATTGAGCATCCTTCTAAGCAGTATTTTGAACTCAGTATCTGTTAGGTTGCTTATCTCCATTTCGCTTAGTTCTTTTCTTGGGGTTTTGTTCTGTTCTTTCATTTGGGACCTGTTTCTTTGTCTCCTCATTTTGGCTGCCTCCCTGTGTTTGTTTCAGTGCATTACTTAACAAGAGGTGTGGGGCTGAGACCAGATGCTGCTCGTTTGAAAGAATTTAGGAAAAACCTGAAGCAGGATCCAAGACAGGCCAATCCTATGGTTAAGCAAGTGGCAACAGCTTGGGTGGGCCTGAAAGTTGGGTGGGGGCAGGGTGAGGCCTCAGGGAGTCACCAGGGCGGGGCTACCAGTGTGAGCCAGGTTGCTGGAGTCCCAGATATGGAGACTGTCTGCCGCCCCCGGGAAGGGCTCACCAAAGGAACAAAGGCCTCTGACAGCACGTTTCTCCCCGAGAAAGCCCCCTCTTCAGCCCTTGCTCCAGTGCCAAACAACTCAGTTCTTCCCTGTATGTCCCTGGCGCCCCTCGAGCTGCCTCGCCTCCAAGCTTAGAGGGAAAGTCTGATAAGTCCGTGCGCGGGCCCTTTAGGGAGCTGCCT